CCTGGAAGAGAGTTCCAGAGCCTGGGAGCAACCACCAAGAAGGATCTGCCCCGTGTTTCTACCAGGTATACCTGTGAAGGTGGTGGGACAGAGAAAAAGCCCTCTGCAGAAGATCTCAAAACATGAGCAAGCTCATTTGGAAGCATAGGGTACTTTGGATAACCTGGTCCTGAGACATCTACAGCTTTAAAGTTCATAACTGTGTCCAGAAATGAACTGGCAGCCTATCTGCCCCTAACCTGCAAACCAAAGTAATTCTAGGGAAGGTATATCACCAAAAGTTGCACCAGCTTTTGTATGGTAGGTTGCTTTCTTACAAGCTGGGATATTACATTTTTTTTTCCATTCGGCAAAATTGTGGCAAATGCAATAATGCCTGGCAAAGATATTACCAATGGATGCTCTGGCTTTTAGTCCAAACCTCGAGGCAGATATCCAAAGTGCTGAAACAAATCCGGGGATAAGGTTCAGCCATTTAGATAATTCATTTGAAGTTCAAACTAAAAGCCAAAAGATCTTGAAACATGGGCCTTCAAATAACCTGAACCTGAGCCATCTAAGGATTTAAAGTTCATAACTGTGTCCAGAAATGAACACAGCCTATCTACCCTTAACCTGAAAGCCAAAGTAATTCCAGAGAAGGTATATCACCATGAGTTGTATCTGCTTTTGTATGGTAGGTTGCTTTCTTACTAGTTGGAGTATCACAATTTTCCATTCAGCACAATTGTGGCAAATGCAATAATACCTGGCACAGACATGCATTAACCATTGGTGGTGGGTGGCTTCCACATCATTGGAGTAGCAAATCTACTTGTTGTTTTAGTCCAAACATCAAAGGAGTTATCCAAAGGGATGAAACAATTTAGAGGATAGGGTTCAGCACTTTAGATAGCTCCTTTGAAGTTCAAACTAAAAGCCAGAGTAGTATGGGCCATTGCAGACCACTAGAAATAGTGCAAATTGAGTCCACTTTAAGGGTTAGGGTTAGGGTTAGGGAATCATGGGAACTGTATTTTATTGTGGCACCAGAGCTCTCTGACAGAGAAGGCTCAATGTCTCAGAAAAAAAAAACAATTCCCATGATTCCCTAGCACTAACCCTAACCCTTAAGGTGGACTCAGTTTGCACTACTTCTGGCAGTCTGCAAAGGCCCTAGCTCCCAGCCACTACTGGCATTATGTAGTGTGGTTGATGCATCAACATATTAGTGTGTAAAAAGGCCTTGGGGTTCCCTTCAAGCAAAGTTTGCCAAACACCCTCCCCCCCCTCCACTGTTTTATAAGGTGGAGATATTGGAAAACCATATGGCACTGATCATTCTGCTCACATGACTCCTTTAACTCTCCTTTGACCCCCACAGACCTTTAGCACAGCAAATCCATTTTTAAAAAAGAAAATAGAGGTCAGGGCCAGGGTTCTGTCTGGTGTCAATTAATCAAATGCTGAGCACTAACCAGACCTGGCTAGTATGCGATACAAGATAGTGCTTCTCTACAAAGACTCCTGGTAATGACCAGGATTCAGAAAAATATCCATTTTACATCTCCTGGGATGGGCAACGGGATGGAGTGTCTTCTGCCTAGGATATCCATACATTTCAGAGGGAATGAAAATCTCCATGCAAACCTGTGCATAGAATGAACATTTATACAATTTAGTTAAGGTGTGTGTGTGTGTGTACATTAGATAAAATGCATAAGCAAATGCAGATGGATTTCCACACAGAAAGGGTGGGGAGACTCTCCCTGGATTTTATTTTACATCTCATACTGAGTGATGCACCAATCAACCCCCTTAAAATGTTCTTAAATTTACTTTTCTTTATTTCAATTTCTCCTTTCCTGCAATGGCTTCAAAGTGGCATACAAGGGGGTATCCTAAAGTTTTAATTATCACTTTTAAAAAAAATTGACAGAAAATTTGTTTTGATTTGTAGTTGTTAACTTATCTCTGCATGGTCACCATTCAGATTTACACATTTTCCCCAGAATAATTCCTCTAAATACCGTTATTGTAGAAATCTGCAGATTGTGCCTTAAACCACTCTTCCACTTCATGAATGACATCATCTGTGTTGTCAAATCGGTGACCTAGCAATGGCTTTTTCATTTTTGGGAAAAGAAAAAGTCTCTTGGTGATGATGACGCTAACAAAATTTCATCAATAATAACTTCCGGGTGATAATTATCACTTTACGATACCCCCTCGTACTTCTCCATCTTGCACTTTAGTCACTTCTGGCACAACCTGTAACAAAAATAAAGGACACAATGAGCTGATTTTCTCAACATCATGCACTTGGGGACCAAAGATAACACTAACAAAATTTCATCAATATATCATAATAACTTCTGGGTGATAATTATTACTTTACAATATGCCCTCATATATGACTGTCTTCCCCCCTTCCTTCTCATGCAACAACCCTGTGAAGTAAATCAAACTGAGAAAGTGTGACTGACCAACATCCCTCAGTAGGTTTTCTGGCTCGCTGAAGACTAGAACCCACAAGACTTCCCATCTTCCAGTCCAATATTCTATCTGATACTTCTGATTGCCTGTCTACCCAGATCATTGAAAATCTTACCATATGTACCAGCCACTGGATCGGCATTTTAATCCAACAGATCCAACATAAGGTCCAGCCTTCCTTCCCAATCTACATGTGTTGTTTCTCTTCTACACATCAGAAACTATAAATCAAAACAGAGTTCCATTCCTGTTTTGTTTTGTTTTTATTAATTGAACTTCTTGTTTGAGAATATGCTTCTGATCACCATAGCCATCTTGGGGAAGGAAGCTTTTCACAGGCATTGGTGGTTCTGTTCAATGATCTACTGACTTTGGTTTTTAGTTACCCCAATGAACAATATGTTTCCAATAAGACACTGCAGCTGCATTTTCCAGAGTAGAATTTCCTATTTATTGCCAGAGATATGCTGGCAATTACACACACACACACACACATTCACCAAAGGAATAAATTTTCCCACATCTGCATAAGTGCTCATGGATTTTAATAAATGAAGAGATGTGCCTCTTATTTGTATAGACTATCCTTAACATGAATGCAAGTACTGAAAAGGACATTTTCTGTGTCCTTTGAGGGACTGGAAAGTGCATTTCCTAATCTGGTTTAGTCTTTCAACAAACCATTTGATAGGTAACAACCGTTCCTGTTTTACAGGCAGAATAAAGACTGAGCAAGTCCATGAATGCAGCGGGTCAAATCAGCATTCCATGATGGTGCCAGAAGATGGCTGCCCCTTGATAAAACAAAGCCAGGTCCCTCCCCTCAATATACTCCTGACAGTCATCTATTTCCCCGCATCTAACTGAGTTAATAGTATAATGTGTAGGGCTGGGTAAACTTTCTTTTTTCTGTTTTGAGGTTGCATGTTTTGAGTTTGCAAAGGTAGACAACTGTGACATGGCCTGGGCAGTTTTCAGTCCCAATTTTCAGCCTCAAGACATTAAGGCAGCTGCATAGACATCCAAAAATACTTTTAAAAAAGAAAACAAAACTGAAAGTGGCTGGAGGTTGACTTCTACTTTTAAAAAGAAACTGTGCCTCTTTCTCTGTGTTAATTATAATAATTTATACATTTGCTGTTGTTACATGCCTTCAAGTTGACTCCCATTTATGGTGAACCTACCACAGAGTTCCTTGGCAAGATTTATTCAGAGGAGGCTTGCCACCACCTTCCAATAAAATTGAACATCTGAAAACCTTGTGGGTTTGTATGTATTACAATAAAATGAAATAAAATAAAATAAAATAAAGTGTTCTAGGGCAAATACACCCCCAGAATTCTCTAGAAGCCAAGATGACTGAACTGACACTATCATACTTTGAAGTATTTCAATGTCTTCATTGTCTACTTTAAAGTTATGTAAACAACCAGTAGTCATTCCCTGATGGCCATTAACAACAACAACTTCCAGAGTCCTTGTCAAATCACTACAATCACACTGGCTTTATATTATGTAATATGGATTTTCTGTACCTTGGCTCAGTCATTAATCAAACTGGGGACTGTAGTTAAGAAATCAGAAGACAAGGGAAATTAGCGCACAGCTTAAAAAAGCAACTTACCGCTGCCAAATTCAATTCTAATTTGGGCTGCATCCGGATATTATCAGATGCATTTTGCCACTGACACCACCAGCTGAGCGCAGCCTGGGTAACTTCCAGGTAGGATTTGCTTTGCAAATCAGCCAGCTGAGCCCAGACTGCACCCAGCTGGTGGCATCAGTGGCAAAATGCCTCTGATAATACCCAGATGCAGCCCAAATTAGAATTGAATTTGGCAGCGGTAAGTCACCTTTTTTAAGCTGTGCACTAAACTCCTGGGACTTGAAAGGACAGCTTTGAAGGAATTAGACAAGATCTTCAGGTATAAAGATATATCATTAAACACCAAAGTTAAGATTGCCCATCTCATTTTATTTCCCAGACTGGCCATGCAGTCTGGGGAATTCTGGGCTTTGTAGTTTAAACAAACAAACAAACAAAAACCTTCTCAAGCTCTTTTCTATCCCTAGCCACAGTGCAGAGGTGAAAAGCCTGGGGTAACTGTCATAGTTAATGACTGATTGAGATGGACCAAAGACTTTTTGTGCTTGACAAACAGAAATGCAGATGGGGAAAATGTTGATATGAAGAGACGCAGTGTTGAGAACCCCTGTGACTTCTGCTTATGCCATGCATTCATTAAAAATGCACTGAAGCCCATTTACAATTTACTCATTTACAATGCATCATGTACAGTGCATGTTGAATCAACAGGTGAAGAGGAAAGTACATTAGACTTGTCCTGCTTACCTCCCAGTTTCATTCGAAAATCTGAGGTGGATGATGTTCATACATAGGGGAACTCTCCTGTTCAGACTTTGCTCAGCATGTGAGGAAAGCAAATGGGTCTGCAAACTGAAAGGGTAGCACAACTACCATTCCATTTTCACTTGTTGAAGTAGTACACTTTGTAAATAAATATGGCCAGTGTAATGGTTCGAACATTGGACTAGAACTCTGGAAGACCAGGGTTCAAATCCCAGTTTGGCCACAGAAACTACCTGGGTGACCTTGGGCAAGTCACATTCTCTCAGCTGTCTGACTTTTTGGTTAGCAGGGTGTCATGGTGTAGTGATTTGAGCACTCGAATCAAGCCTCCTGGACTGAAACTGGGAGGTGGGATGGAGGCGGGGATCATCGCATGCTAAATCACCACCAAATCACCACCTGCCATCAGCCCAGGTCCCAGCCAGACTCAACCGGCACTTTTTGGAAGCTGGAAAGTGTTCCAGTTTCTAAAAAGCACCAGCTGAGCCCAGCTTGGACCTGGGCTGATGGTGGCCAGCAATTCAACAGTAATTTAGCTTGTGATAATCGCCGCCTCCATTCCACCTTCTGGCTGCAGCCTAAGAGGCTTAATTCAATTTAAAACAACATGCGATAAAGTCATAAGACTGGGGTGACCAGGATTTGAATTCAGCCATGGAAACCCACTGGGTGACCCTGGGCAATGGCAAACCCCCTCTGAACAAATCTTGCCAAAAAAACCCCTGTGATAGGTTCACATTAGGGTCCCCATAAGTCATAAGAAATGTAGTTGGAATGACAGTTAGACCAGCCATGAACTCCAACTGCCTTGGAATCTTGGGATTTCCCTCCATCTCTGTCACATATTCACTCCTGACAGACCTGTGGCTCCGTTAAAATGCCTGCCAACTCTCCTCAACCAGGTGTTCCCAGCTGTAGTAGAAATCATTTTGTTTATTGCTTTAAACATACTGTTTTGAAATGTGTTTTAAAACCCAACTGGGTATTATCTCATTTATGTTTTAGTTGACTTGAATAGCTCCCAGATTTGTAATTTAACCCTTCAAACAATCTTTGCTGTTTTAGGGAGACACAGAACACCCCATTCCTTCATCCCATCCAGAAATATCACCATTACGCATGCTTTGCCTAAAATATCATATTCCTTGTCAGCATTCTTTCAACTTTCCTCAACAGTTTGCCCAGGTTTTGTACAAATAGACAACTCTGCATTCAGTCACAATTTCATTTTTGGAATAACTGAATGAGGCCTTCGCCTTTTTGACTCCTTAGTCCAAACCTCCAATAAATGTAATTGCTCTTTGATAAAAACAAATATCAAAACCTTAAGTAACATGTAAACATTTAAGCATAGATGAGGAGCATGAAGGGCTCGTACTGTATGAATATATACAGACTGTAAGAAGATTATTAATGTTTTTGTTTTCTCTCTGTTTTCATCTCTTTCTCTCTCATTTCCTCCCATATACGCTTCTCATTCAGTTTTCCTGTTTAATTATTTCTTTGCTGTGTGTATGGATATATAAATGTATAGTAGATTCAATACCAATGCTGTAGTTTTTAATTTTATGGAATTTATAAATTGTGGATGTGAGATTTCAAGGGCTACATTGAAAGGAGGTAGGGTTGCAAGAGTAAAAACTAGAGACAATTCATATATCTTTAAATGTTTTTGTGGAAGAAGGAATTTCATCAGATTTTGTTTGTCATACAACCAGGTACCAACCAACATCTGTTCAATTTCCCTCCTCTACCCAACTATTAAAAGTCCAGCAACCCTCTCCAGTTTTCAGTCAAGCAACCCTACCAGGGAATTGTGGGGATGCAAAACCAACATAACATAATATAATAAGTTGCTTGAAACTAATTGGTTAACAAGTCGGTTTTAAAATGAATAAAGTTTAGATGTCTCTTTTGATTCTGCCCAAATGTTTGCCTTATCTCTGTTCTTGTGTGGGAATAATAAAGAACACTGCTGAGCTGAGACCAGTTCAGACCTTGCTTCACCACATACTGAGGCCCAAAACTATGGCCTTTGCAGACTGCTAGAAATAGTGCAAATTGAGTCCACTTTAAGGGTTAGGGTTAGGGAATCATGGGAACTGTATTTTATTGTGGCACCAGAGCTCTCTGACAGAGAAGGCTCAATGTCTCAGGAAAAAAAAAAACAATTCCCATGATTCCCTAGCACTAACCCTAAAAGTGGACTCAATTTGCACTATTTCTGGCAGTCTGCAAAGGCATGTGTCAAACTGAGGAGGCTTCATGGCCTAAATATATAATTCTAACAATGATAAATAATTTGAAATGTTGATATTTTTTAGTATTTAGAGGCTACTCGTAATCTGAAGCACTAAACCAGCATGTGAAGCCACTAGGGCCCTATTAAAGATTTAGGCTTCTGTTTTGCAGCTCCTTTAGCCCCCCCCCCCACCGAGACCCCCCAAAACCACCAATGTGTTCTATGGGGTGCGGGAGGGAAAATGTCCCTGGCATTTGCTCATATTTGCCCCGAAATGCAGCCAGTTTCTGTTTGCCTTCAAGCTCCCTGTCAATTTATGGTGATCCCATGAATGTCATCGTTTTCTTAGGCTAGGAATAATCAGTGGTAATTTTGCTAGTTCCTTCTGAAATATAGCCAACAGCACCTGGGATTCATTGGCGGTTTCCCATCCAAGTACTGACTCTGCTTAGTTTCCAAGATCACACAGGATCTGCTGCCTTTATGGTATTTAGCTTGTGCTTAAATCCAGCATCGTGCTTTACCATTTGACTCACCAGGTATCAAGTCACTATCTTTTTACCTCATTCTTTCAGTGTGCAATATGGGATCGCAATAATATTGATGTACCTTAGAGGGGTGATTTGTGGATTACTGAGATAAACATATTGAGCATTTTAAGGCCAAAATCCTTCTGGTTAGTCCCAACTAGAGCAGACCTATTGAATCTATAATGAAATGTTGGGTCTGCTTTAGTCGGGAGTAAATAGGCCTAAATATGTTGTTCAATTACACTCTGCCGTGAAAGTTGAAATGTTTTAAATATTAATACAGATGCTGAACTATTTTTGTCATTTACAGATCCATCATCCCTAAATAAAAAGGTCACAATGACCAAGCAGTCTTCACCCAAAGGTGACAGAAAGTATTTGCACCAAATGCCAAGGTCACCTGGGACATCCCTGCATTCCACGTGTCCTCTCTGCTTGAGAACCTTTGGCAATATGTTATACCTAAACCCCTGTTTGCACAGTTTCTGTTTTTCCTGTACACAGGGCTTGCTGGAAACCCAGGCTGAATGTCCTCACTGCAAGCAGCCATTTAATTCTATTTTTCACCCTGTAAAGAAGAAAGAGTGTCCTGCGGATCTCCTATCCAAAAGAAACATCAAAGAAGAGTCTTGTTCTGCTCCATCTAACAAAAAGTATGTCAGAGAAGAACATATGTCTTTATCTTCCAGAAAGCACAAGGAAAATGGTCCCTTTTCAGTGTTCAAACATCATTCTGAAGATGACATCACTTTGTCCTATGAAGATCTCACCCTCTCCAAGCCTAATTTGAAAAGACCTTGCAAGCATTCCTCTTTTAAATCACCATCAAAGGACAGTCCACTTCTTAGTGGATTTGCAAAATCAGAGGCCCGTCATGAATGCTACCATATGCAGATCTTAGAAAAGAAACCATGTTCTGACCAGATATCCTTCAAATCAATCTCACAGGAGGCTGCATTCATGCCTGCCCCAGAATTGACCAAATCCAATTTTAAGAGACCCTGCAAGCCTTCCTCTTTTATATCCACATCAAAACCTAACACACATCTTAGTGGACCTTCAAAACCTGAGGCTCACCAGGAATGCCACCATTTACATGTCTCAGAGAAGAAGCCAAATTCAGACCAGTTCTCCTCCAAATCAACACAAGACACTGCTGCATTTGAATCCCTCCCAGACCTAAGCAAATTTGTAGATGATGAAACTGATATGCTTCGTTATAGAGCACTATCTGCTAATTTATCTAAGCCAAACTTGCTAGAAGCCATACTTTTTCTTCTCTTATCAGGAGCTGTAGTATTTGTATGTATTTATATCTATTTACAAGTAGTAGTCTTATAATAGCTAGTTAGATTTGTTACAGGAAATATCAGTGTCTTGGAGAAGGCCCTGAATTTGTGAGGAAAGGAGGAACAATATTTTTCTTTTTACTAAACATGTTCTGATATGCAGTATGATCCACAGCTCCTTCACATATTAGGCTGGTGCATATGTAATGACAGGCATAAAAATTATTTGATATTTACTCTGCTTAAACCACTCTTCACTGGGGCCCTGGTTTATCAAAACATACAAACCTGAGACAATGCATATTTTATACACTGCGTATGTAAAATGTCAAAAATAACCATTTCTATGTTTGTCTCCTGCAGTCAAACTGTTGTTGTTTAAAGTCCTGTAGTACTTTGAAAACTAACATATTTATTGTGGAGGGAGCTTTTCTGGACTATAGACCACTTCATCAATCACATGGAGAGTTATTCAGAATCCCAGGTACACATACAATAATAATGGCCATGAGGAGAACAGTAGCAAATGAGATCAAAGAGAAATAAATATAGAAATGCTCTATGTCAAGCTGGAAAGCTAGGGAGTGGAAAATTTCATTGGCATAACTCAATGGGATTGCACAGAACAGGGAGGCAGTTAGCTTGGAAGTGGAGGAACTGCCTGTCTGTCTGATGGAAAGGTTCAAGGCTGTTGTACAGCTTGGGAACCACTTGTGTAGGGAGGTATCAAATATCCATTACGTAAGCCCATCAGAAGTACAACTGGTAATGCAACAAGCAGTTCTGCTCACATAGAATCCTTACAGGATCCCAGCATCCATGTTTTCTGCATTTAGTTTCATGAATTCACTGTCTACACAGTTCCAGCTCCAACCCAGGGTACCTCTGCACCTGAAATTATGCATCTGGCTGTACCCCTGGACATTTCATAAATGTATTGGTGTTTAAGGTTTCACCGTCACAGGATGTTTTAAGTGTCAATTTAGAAGTGTGAGTGTGGAAATCTGGGTATTGAGAAACAGATGTAACACACACACACATTTGTCAGCTAGCCAGGCTTGGTTGCCACTAGCAAACTCCACTCCAAGAATCTGAAAACCTTCAGGTCAGTTCCTTCATCAAATTCTGTTTTGTGGAGAAAAGAATCTCTGGGGAATTTGGC